GCAGGAGTCCACCCCAGCCCAGGAGCACATGTTGTGTTGCAGCTGAGGGTTCCCTCTTTCTTTCTTTCTTTCTCTCTTCTTTCTCTCTCTTTCTTTTCTTTCTTTCTAATTATCCTTTTGTTTTGTTTTATTTTTTAGACAAGAGACATAAATCTTCCCTAGCACTCAGGAACCATATCTTTTTTTTGTAAGACTAGATTTCTGTTACTTTAATGTTTAGGGCAGTTTCCTAAGAGAGCTGTGCTTACACAGACCTCCTGCCTCTTGCTGGTAGCCAGTGCTATCAGCTGGGACTCCCAGACTGCCCTCAAGCCAGGGGATGGACTGGGGATGCCACAGAGGGATGCCAGGCACAGCCCAGGTGAAAACAAAGCCTGTTTAAGGTTACAGATTCTGTGCTGCAGGTCTGCCATCAATGGGGAGAGCACTTCAGCCAGGAGAAATACTGCTTTCTTTTACTGAGGTTTGCCTTGGGCCAAAATGGGGGAACCAGGTACCCACAGGCTATCGGGATTTGGTTCCACTGCCCAGAACCACTGTACAAATTGCTGACAGCATGAGGTAAAGAGACTCTTTAAATAACTTGGCTGAAAAGTAGCCCTAAATCAGCAATTCTTACAGTAGCTCTGTGATGTAAGGCCACTGTGAATTGTTCTTTTTTATCTTGCTGATTATAATAGCAACAGCAAAGTTTTTCTTGGTGTGTTGTGTTTGGTTTTGTTTCTTAAGAAAAAAAAAAAGATGGACCAGTGTTCTGCAGGCGCTGTGGAGATAAGCAGGTGTCCTTGGCCACAAAATGAAATCTCTTGGTTTCTTTCTAGTCCCTTTTCCTGGGGTGCTTGCCCAGCTCAGCTGGTGAGGCTCCCCATGATGAGCTCCAGTCTTGTGTGTTAGGAGGAGAGGCAGCCAGGGCTGAGCATGGGAAAACTTATTTCCTGAGAAACTCTTCCTGACTGACACAGTGGATCGGGAGTCCTGACATGGAAGCAATTGTGGCATGAGGATTACAGTTCCTGGAAACCAGCTGGCCTCCAGAGCTGGGGTGGAGAGCCACCAGCCACACGGCCCACAGGGCATTCCTGTGGTGTCAGCGTGGTCCAGGACAGCGCTGCTGCTCCTTCCTCTCCCTGCAGGTTCGTGACAAGTGCCTTGGGGCAATGGCAAGCTGGAGCTCAGCCACAGGCTCTTTAACTGACCCAAGTGTCCCAGGCAGTCCCAGAATCCAACAGCTTCTCTGTCTCACACAGGGAACTGGAACACAGGAAGCTGCAGAGGTTTTTAGACCTATATTGCCATCCTCCCCCTTCCATTCACCCCTGGTAGTGGATTTGCTCGTGGCAAAACAAGGGGGTTGCTAGCAGTGCCAGCACTGTGCAGTTATCTACATCTATAAAAATCGGTCATATGCCTTGAATGTGATTAAAGAACAGAGGTCAGAACTATTTTACAGTGACTTTGGATTACCCAGAAAGAGAGGGACTTGGATTCCAGACATCAGTAAGGGGATACAGATAATGCAGCAGGAGCAAAAGAGCTGTCCAGGAGTCTTTAAAGAATAGGAGAAAGAATTTATAACAGACATCTTGGACTGTAAAGAACAGGCAAGTAGAAAAAAAAGAAAACAAATGCAAATAATTTCTAGTTTCCAGTTCTTTAAAAATTATAATGGTTCAGGTATGTGATAAGCAGCTACTTTCTTTGAAAAGCAGGCAAAATATTAAATCAAAGAAAAAGGAGAATGTATGTATATATGTATGCACTTTGAAAGCTTCCTGATGAATTATAAATACTTTCAAATCATAAAATACAGAGCCTGTCAGTGGTTTCTATAGAAGTTTGAACATGCAATTTCACTTGTTCACAGTGCAGCCTGTGTGTGCTATCACATTAAAACCAGAGAGAAGTAAGAAATACATAGAAACATTCTGTACATAAAAAAGAATAACAACCCACAAACCTGGGTGACAGACTGAGTAATTATTAATGGGAATCACAGCATGGATTGGCTTGTGGAGCAGACTTCTCTAGGAAGTGGCTTTTATCATGCAGCAGTCAATAGATGAATTGCCAGAGGTAAGGTTCTTCCTTCCCTTGGAAATGTGGAGAAGTTAAAAATGAGAAGGTTCTTCTGTAGCTGCCAGTGTAGGTGCTGCAATGGGACACTGCTGTCGTGCTGACAGAGGCAGAGGCTTGCAAAGCTCTGCTGTGGGCACCACCAAAAGGAGGACTGCTGGGAATACTTGAAGCTATCTTGGGGTGGAGGGCAAGACCCTGAAGAACAGAATGTTAGGGACTGACAAAGCACTGAAAAGCTATGTGTTTGGGAGTAGGCAGAGCCCTTCCGGTGCTTCCTCCATGCCATGTGCCTGGGACGCTTCCTGTAGCTGGAGGAAGGATGTGCCAGGATGGGCTGTCACAGCTATGGAGCTGGGGAGGTCTATGGAGTGAAAGATGCGGGCCTTGCAAGCAACTGAGTAACCACAGGCAGGAGAGCAAGGGAAGCTGAGGTGTCATGATGCTGGCAGAGTAGAGCCAGGCTGGCAACGGGCAGGGCTTTGGGCAGAAGGTCTGCCCATCCTGCCAGGCAGTCCTTGCTGGAGCCAGCGAGCCAGGACCAGCAGGGGACACGCCTGGATGTGGCCCCACCTACAGTGGCAGCAGCTGCTGTTCCTTTAGGAATCCAGGAAGGGTGCTGAGGTTGCAGAAGCCTTCCTCCCATGGTGGAGGATGCAGGATGGGGAGTGGTCTCACTGGTCTAGAAAGCCTCCACTTACGGTCACAGTGATAGTCCAGCTGTGGGCTGACATCGTGGCCCAGTCCCATTCCCAAGAAGTTGACTGACAATGGGGGCTGGAGCTGCCCCTGGTGCCTCCTGGCCTGCCCTGCTCCCTGGCTGAGGTGATGGGATGGGTCCTGCTTGCTGGGTTCCACTCTGTTGTCCCAAAGAGCCCACATGGCTCCCACCTCCCAGACAGCCCCAGGTTCCAGTGACCTGAAGAGCCAATATATCTCATGAACTGCAGGCGGAAAATACAATCTCATGAACTGCAGGCAGCAAAGAAAACTTTCTAGCAAGAATTATATGACTGAACCTCAGCTCGTGATTGTTGTCTGTAATTCAGGGAGGGAAACCATGACAGGAGGTGGAGACAGGGTGCACAGAGCAGGAGGAAGGTACTGCATCTGCAGGCACAGCATGAGGAACATAGAGGTCTGCCCAGGAAGGAAGAAGAGCTGTGGGCAGCTCAGTGAAGGTGGAGGAGGAAGCAGTTCTGACGGAAATAGTGACCTGGATTCCCAGATCTTTGAATTGCAGGAAGGCTTGGAGTCTAATTGAGCAGCCAGGAAAAAAAAACACAAAACCAAAACAACAAAAAAACCTGAGCAGAAACTCAAATTAGAGCCTGGGGAGAAACTGGAGGTCCTTCATCCAGCAGAAAAGCTTTTTGGATTTTCCTCAGTTGGAAAATACAGAGGAGCAGACCTAGGAGGCAAACCTCAACGCTTGGCCAAGGCAGGTGGACACAGTTACATTGCCCTGGAAATCATAGAATAATTTGGGTTGGAGGGCACCTTAAGATCAGCTTAACTCTATGGATACTCCTCTTACATTACTAAAGCTGTGCAGCCTCAGCAAGTGGGAACTGGGTCATTCAGTAATTATACATCATTATTACATATAATCATATCATATGGGCATCTTTTATTGATTTCCTTTGTTGCTAAAAAGGAAGCAGTTTGAAATGAAGCCATTAATACAGGGAGATACATGGATTTCTAGCAGCAATGTGTGGAAATATAAATTGAGTTCTACAAGGGAAAAGCCTTCCTCCTCTGTAGAGTGTTCATGATGCAGGTTCAGAAAGGCCTTAAGACAAGGTGTCTGAATGACTGAAAGGCACAGGCTGCAGAACACGGACAGAACTCTACAGTTTATTGATGCAAACCCTCACGTGGATGTGCCTGCAGTGACTAGAGACATTTCCATGTGTCTAGCTTGCCCTTATGGATATAAAGAGCAAGCTAAACCTGGATAATGTTATCTGGATTCAATACACATTAAAGCAGTGCCTAAGGCCAGATCTCTTGTCTCTCCTGCTAGCAGGATGTGCAGCTCAGAGCAAGTCCTTCGATGCAGCCATACTGCCACCAGCCCCTCTGTGGGTTAACCTGCAAGCTTCCTTCTTTCTACCCCATGCTTCTAGCAGGCAGGTAATTCCTGTCACCCAGTCCTGTGCTCAGGGCAAACTATGCTTGCAAACTGTAGCCGGCCCAGCACCCATGTGTGATGGACACCTTCCTGCTCCAACCTTGCTCAGCATGGTCCCTTTCACACCTGCCTATGCACAGCTGACAAGCTGATGGGAATTGGGGTGGGCTGAGTGTTCATCTCCCCAGGCTGGGTGCCAGAGCAGCAAGCATTGGTGCTGGGGAGGAGTGAAGGGGGCTCTTACTCATATGTGTTCAGAGGAGGCTGCTTGTGCTGTTCCCTTCAGAAGACATGTGGAGATACTGAAGCTGGAGCTTTGTGTGACCCCAAGGAAACGTCCAGAAGTACTGAGGGATTCATCAGGTGTCATCAACAGACAGACAGACATAGTTGAGGTGGGTGACCAGCACAGGCAGAGTAATGCAACTTGCAGAGACCTGGCTGGCAGCAGACAGTGCTGGTAATAAAACACCTTAGTGAAAAATCACTGGTAGGTAGCACTTCACCATTAAATGCTTTTGCTAAATGGGTGAGTGTTTTCTCATCCCTCACACATCACCAGAGGGGGTAACGCTGCTCTGTTCAGTCACAGCAAAGCTGCCTTTGATAGCATGGAGTAGTACCCAGTTTTTACCCCTCACTGTGGAAGTATGGAGAGATCCTAAAGAGAGAAAACAAAGGATCTAGGAGTTGTAGCTCAGTTGGAGAGAATGACTTGCTCATGCTTTTTTCCTTTCCTTCCTGATGATCTCCAAACTAGCATATCTTGTTCTCCCACCTCTCAAGCTGCAGGTCCACAGTATATCCTTGAATGCTCTTCTGCTCTCCAGCTGCTGTTTCTGCAAGGACCAGTCTCCTGAGGCTCTGCACTGTGTCTGGCTGCTCACAGGAGAAAGAATCTCATCTGTTTGTGGGTTCAGATGCTCAGGACAAGCTATATTCATTAGCCCTGGCAGGTAAGGGCACAGCATAGTGTCACTTCTTTGTCTCTGCTGGTTATCCAGCCCCATCAGATAAGTGGTCTAAATAGGGTAGGTCTAATGGAAAATCTCCCTTGACAGAAGGACTTCTGTGAGCTAAGAAGTCCTTGCAATTTCTTTCATCCCTAATTTTATGATAAATTAATTATCTGTATTCAACTTGGTTTTTTGTTTGTTTGTTTCTGGGTTTTTTGTTTGTTTGTTTGTTTTTTGTTCTTTGGTTATTTTTTCCCCTGTGCCTTTTCCTTTACTTTCTCTCCCTGTTACTCGTTTTAAATATTCAGGTGTGTAATGCTTTCCTGACCACAAACGTCATTCAGAAGGAAAACAGAAGTTTAAAAACCTGACATCACTCTGAAGTTCGTTCATGGTGTGGGTGTAAACCAGACCCAGCTTTAACAACACAGCACACTTTCTGCTGTGGCTGCCTCTCTTACTGGTAATGGAAACAGAAGAACATTACTTTTTTCCAGAGCATCATCGTGAATCCTTGTGAGTAGCAATGATGGTCCTGGAGTGCAGTGCCAGGGTGATCTTTAGAAAGGTATAAAGCCGTGCCTGCCCGTGAAGAAAGGGGGCTGCACTCTGACCTCTGACGACGGCAGGGAACAATGCCAAGGTGAAGCCCGAGCTGTCTGCCGTGAGCCGGCCCGTCAGCACTGCGCGGCACGGCCCCTCCGAGGGCTCTGCGTCCGCCCCGCACCGAGCCAGCCCAGGGCAGAGCGGGCTCGGCCCAGCGCCAGCGCTGCCCTTTCCCCGCCGCTCCCCTCGCACAGCACCCGAGTGCCTCCTGCCGGCCGGCCGCTCCCAGGGCTCTTCCCAAGGGTCCATCCCCACCTGGTTGCCGTGGCCTCCCAACGCCCGCTCGGGCCGTGCCCCCGCAGTGCGCTCCGACGGGGCCGGGCAGTGTCCGGGGGGATGTCCCGGCGGTGTCCGGGGGGGGTTGTCCCGGCGGTGTCCGGGGGGGTTGTCCCGGCGGTGTCCGGGGGGTTGTCCCGGCGGTGTCCGGGGGGATGTCCCGGCGGTGTCCGGGGTTGTCCTGGCGGTGTCCGGGGTTGTCCTGGCGGTGTCCGGGGGATTGTCCCGCCGGTGTCCGGGGGGATGTCCCGCCGGTGTCCGGGGGGATGTCCCGCCGGTGTCCGGGGGGATGTCCCGGCGGTGTCCGGGGGGGTTGTCCCGGCAGTGTCCGGGGGTTGTCCCGGCGGTGTCCGGGGGGATGTCCCGGCGGTGTCCGGGGGGGATGTCCCGGCGGTGTCCCGCCGTCCCGCAGTGGCACCTGCTGCCGGGGCCGAGCAGCCCAGGGTTTAAACGCCGTTTGCCAGCGACGGGGACCGTTTGTTGCACTCGATCCATGACCCGCTCGCTGGTGGGATTTCGGTAGGATTGCGAACCTGATGCCTTCGTTCCAGCGGGGTTCTGCCTGCCTGCCTGAGGATCTGGCCCATTAAGTGAAAGGACAAATGCCTGTAGAAACACCTTCCTGCAGGCACAGCAGGCGGCTGTGCAGCACTCACTGGGGTGGTCTGCACGGAGCCCTGATCCAGGTCATAGAACAGCTGTAGCCTGAGGAGAGTTTATTTCCCAAGCCCGATCATCTTCAAAGTATATCTTTGCAGTAATAGAAAGGACATATTTCTCCTTTGCAGTTTTTACGTCACTCATGATGCAAGAGTGACCTAAGTAAGAATACTTTCTTAGTGCTAGGTGTAGCAGTCATTTTATAAAAGGTATTGGAAGATACCAGTGAAAGGCTGCAGTCATCTCTGATGGATTTCAGGGCATGGCAGAAAGTCTGTTACTGGTTCCCTTTGTTCTTCCAGATAAGTTAATCATAACCAGGGCTCCCATGGCAGGTCCTGAGCCCACTTGGGCCAGGCTGCTCCCTGTGGTTGTGGCCAGCCCCAGCTGTTGTGTTACTATGAGGCCATGACTACATTGTTTAATAATTTTGCTTTTGTCTTCCTTTGCAGAGCTGTTAAAACCAGCAACAGTCAAGCAAACAGAACAAGACTGGGAATGCTAAACATGGCACCCTCAAAATCATATGAGCAAAGCAGCGAAAGAACTTATTTACCCTCACACCCTGAGAACAACCTACTAGCGCAGGTGATGGATGATGAAGGATGGGGTGGGCCTGGAGCTTGCTGGAGAGTCTGGGAAGGACTAAGGCTGCTTGGCTGGATGAGCTTGCTGCCGGGTGTGTGCTGCAGGGGGTGGCCTCCTTCCTTCCCCATTTCCTGCAAGGGAAGGTAGGATGCTGGGTAAGGATGTAAGAGGGGAGAAGGAACATGTTAGTGAGCATCTTCCAAAGACATATTTCATTTGCTTCGAAGATCTGTTCTCTCTTTTCTGTTAAGGATATGGAAATTGACTGCATTGTGGGCTGCAGTCATGTGGATGTTGGGTTTTCTGTTATGACTAAGGATTCAATACTGTGTAGCACCCTATAATGTGGTCTGATAGGACATCTTCAGTTTACCACTGTAGACAAGTTTCTTTGATTGCTTTGTGACTGGTGCAATTGGAAACATATTCCAAACACAATGATGGGAAGAAAGGGAGGCCTATATTTCCCTTCAGTGCTCTCCATGTGATCTATCTGGATAGTGTACCCATGCAGTTTTCTGTGGTTCTTTTGCATACAGCTACCCCCGAGTGAAGTAAAAGTCTCTCTGCTTTCTTGACATAATAGGAGCTATTTCTTCAAGGCATGGGGCTTTCCAGGTTAGTAACAAAACTATTATTGTGTTTCTTAAAGGTAGAGCTTCTACAAGAGTAGTTCATAAACAACAGTGTCATGGGATGTTTTCAGAGCAACTGAAGGTCTGCTTCACTTCCACAGAGATCATGAAAGTCTTGCTGTTAACAATACCCTGCTTCACCTCCACTTGTTATTCCAGCAGAAGAGACATCTCTCATGGTCCTGTGTCACATCTGCAAGCCCTTTGGGCTGCTGATCCCTGTCCTTTGTGAAGCTGTGCCAGGCACTGATTTATCAGTGATCCAGCAAAATGCTGCATCCTGCCTTAAAATTCCTGAAGACAGAAAATTAATTCATAAGCTTTGGTCTGCAGGTGTCAACACACAAACCTGCCTGTACAGGTGGGAGAGTTCAGTCCTGTCCATCAGTTGCATTCCGTGCTTTCAAAGACCTGTGTCAGCATTTTTCAAGCCTGTACACACTTGAATTGGAACATGAAGAAAACATTCACAAAACTCAAGTAAATGAACTGGTGAAAAAGTCTTGAAAGAGCAAAGTGGAGATCCAGCAAATGTGTATGTCTGATCCATTCTACCCTTTCCATACACTACTGATATGACATTCTGAAAGTCTTCTGAGCAAAGACACACCTGTGGTGTCCAAACCAGGTGAGATCTGGCAGGTTGGCATCCTGGGGGCCCATGTACCGCACCACTGTAACGTGCGCTGCCCTTCAGCAGCAGATTTTGTATTAGCTTTGAGACAAACTGCAAACTACAAAAAAAATACAGCCATGGATTTGCTCCTGAGAGCACAACAAGCTTGTCCTGGGTATAGTGACTTGTAGCTCTTTTCCAAATGATCCAGCTCTAGGAAAAGAAAATATAAGGGTCTTGCACTGATGGGATCTCAGTGATTTGAGGATTAGGCTGTACTTAATGGCTCTGCTAATTGAGTGGAAAGACCACCTCTGCTCTGCTTCTGCTCCTCCTGTTCTTTCTAGGACCATAAAGGAGGAGGTGAGGGCACAGCCTACCTCCTGCATGCGGGCAAGTGAAAGGGGAGGAGAGCACCCTGTTTTGCTTGTGTCTGCCACAGCCTGGACACCAGCAGTGTGGAGCTCGCCTTGTCCTTCCCCCTCCCCAAACCCAGCAAACTAGGCAATATTTCTCAGACACTTTCTGCCCACCTAGATTTAGGAAATCTACAGAGGAATAAATAACACAAAAAGAGCTCAACAGGTCTGAATTCAAGGGATTTCCAGCTTTCCCCAACCCCAATTTCTGAAGCTGAGACTTCATCCCAGTTCATTACATGCTTAAAGCAGAGATCAGCTCTTCCTTCCTGTTCATGCAGCTCTGGGAAAACTGGTTGTACTTTTGTTCAGAGAAGAATAAACAGCAACCACTGACATGGTCAGCTTGTTTCTACCATCATCACTGATCTCGATCTGTCAACTGCTTTTGCTGCTTATTTGTTGGCAAAGACACTCAAACCAAAGGTCCTTTGGGAGACACAAATACAATAGAAGGAAACATTTGCCTGATGTCTGATGTTACCGCAAAGAGCTGGCCAGTGCACATAAAAATATTGGACTTAGGATGGAAAATTTAATGGGAAAATTTCAGGAACAGGACTTGTACTTCTCAGTGCCTATCTGCTCCCTGACATATGCCTTTTTCAGCACAGTGGTACCTCTACAGCTGAAAGGCTTTGGGGCTCAGCTAGCCAGGGTACTAGTCATAGCACCTCCCCTAGTCGTTCCCTGTTTTCTATTCCCAATCCCATAGTGTTGTTCAGACTTCCAGACAGCTGTTCCCATTTGAGTAGTCCTGATGTGGAGTACAATTTAAACCCAAGACACCAACCATCTAATCCTTCAGGAAGTTCTTCCTTAGATGCATTTTGGGTCTTCCCTCTTGCACCAGAAACACCCTAATTCAGACACAAGCTTCAACTGATCTGTGCTGCTGCTGCTTATCCTCAAGAGAGTTCCTGTCTGTGTGTGAAATGAAAGCTAGTTATAAAAGAAGAGAAAAATCTACCCCAAGTGGATTCCCTGGGTTTGGACACGAGGCTGTGGGGCTGTCTTGAACCCCAGGAGATTAATTTCTGGTTATGCAAACAAGCTCTGGATGGAAAATGTTGCCTGCTGAGGCTGGCTACTCCCACCACAACTAATGTGTAGAAACTTGGTGTAGGTGGAGGTTGTGTCTCTGGGAAGTATTGTGATGGACCACTGTCAGTGCAGGAAACCTACAAAAAGGGGCATGGTCAGAGGTCAGTCAGGCTGTTTTCAGTGGATTTACTGCAGATTTAGTAACATTTCATTGTTATTTTATATGTATTCAGCTTTACTGATTAGTCATCCAAGCAAAGGGGTTTGCAATGGAAGCTACTGCAGATTAGGAGGACACTGTATATGAGCACCAGCAGAGCTCACGCCACAGCAGCACCAAGCACAGGGTTGTGTAATTTCAAAGTGAGAGTACCTGTCTCTCACCCTCTGTTGCACTAACCTGAGTTTATTTTGCCAGTGGAACTCCTACAGAAAAGACATGTATGGCTGTTTTTGAAGTGGAAAGACAAAAGAACTTGTTGATAGCACAAGGACAAAGCGACAAACACATTAGAAAAGGTGGGCAAGAAGTGTTTAAACACAGGTTCAGCAACACATATTCAGATGGGAAGAAGACATTCTGCAATAAACACAGGTAAGACAAGCTGTTCTGGAAGGGAGGTTGAGATAGTGGGGGGATTGAGAGTTGAGGGTAACAGCACAGACACAGAGTTTTTTCCCGAGGTTTGGAACTAAGGGAGAGAAATTTAGTATAGGGAAAACCAGTAATATAGAGCTACCAGTCTCCTCCAGGCCAGTATTGCCACAAAATGCTGTTTGGAAACTAGATAGATATGAGAAGCTTTCTCAAATACTGGGAATCAGGAAAGAGATGGTCACAAAGCTAACTTGAAATGATGCTGTTCAAATGGCAGGAGGTTACAGAGTTGGAAATCTGGAGTCTAAATATATGGATAACAGGACAGCACAGTGTGCAAAAAGCACATAAAAGAACACTGCAAACAAGCTTAAAAAAGACTTGGTAATGTACTGATCTCAGAGTCCAGAGGTGTCACTACAAAATAACGAAGTGTGGCCTCACTTTTCCTAACTTGAGAACACACATGCAAATTACTCCAGGCTGCATTAACAAGAAATGTGTGGAGCTGAGACTATAGAAATGTATAACACGTGCCAACCTAGCAGCCAAATGTGAGCTCAAAAGTCACAGAGGGTAGGGGAAGACTCCAATAAGCTATGAGACCTTCTTGTTAAAAGATGAGCAAGATTGGGAAGCACAAGAAAACTGTTAACGTTTTGCTGAGTTCTCAGATCTGAGTCTGTTACATTAATGTTGGAAGTAAAATAACATGATTTTATAATATGTTTTCAACTAGTCATTTGACAGCTTTCCACAGATGGTCTGCAGTATGTATAAAAATGTAATACAAGTGGAAAATTCCTTTCCTTTATAGCATCCTTATGTGCTCTCTCATGTGCCCACCTCCTGTATGTCCTGCACTAACAGTTTTAAATGTTACAGTTTTGTGACCACTGTGATTTTATGGTGGTGAGACAAGGCTGGAGAAGTGGAGGCAGAAGAAACGGAATGAGAAAGAATGATGTTTCCAATAGGAAAACAGAGTGGAAACGCAAAGGACTTGCAAGGAAAAGCAAGGGGGTCAGTGAAGACGGTGTTAGTAGCACTCAGTTTATCTAGGAAAAGATAGGAGTTGGCTGAGATGCAAGGTGGAGAAACACCCATCAGGAGAGGGGACCAGCATAGCTGTAGATGTTAGCTGAAGCCTTTGGCAGAGGAGATGGTCTCTAGAAGGTCCCCCAGGAGATGTTTGTGTCCTTCACATGAGAGGAAGGAGTGGACAGGGGTGCTGGAGACTCCCATGTGGAGAGGGCCGGGCACAGATGTGGCATAGAAGGATGAACAGTGTGCCTGGGATGGGGATAGAGGGAGAACACCAGCATCCTGTTCCACAGGTCTGCATGGAAAGAAAGAAGGTGGCAGAGAGGAAAAGCAATTCCGTGAGACAGGAAGGAATACGACTTCAAAGGGAATTTGCAGTTAATGGCATCAGAAGCAGCAAGATAGTCAGGAGGATGGGGATGGAGAAGTGAGAGGCTGTGAAACTTACTGATGCAGGCACTGGGATAAAGGTACAGACCAGGGTTGTTAGGCTGAGGGTGAAGTTAGCTGTGGTCCTGGCTGGAATCTCCCATTCAGAGGACAAGGAAGAAGAAAGGTGGGTAAAGATGAGATTTGGAGACAAGGATTGGTTATAATGTGCTTACCTTGGAGGACTTGATGAAGGGACCTGAATGAAAGTGAGATTTTGGAGAGGTAAAAGAGTGAGTAGGGCTAAAGAGTGAGTAGGGCTAAAGGAACAAACTGTTAGGAGGTAGGAGGAGACACAGTTTCTGGGATATTTGTATAATGAAGAGCAGAGAATGGGAAATGCTGTTGACTGTGTAAGAGCCAGGGAGGGTGCAGGAGAGGGGCAAGACTGGCTCAGACACAGAAGAAATAGAACTGGAAGAGAAGATGGAGCAAGAGGCGCCAGGGAAGAGCAGAGAAGATGTGAGTAGTAGGAAGATAAAGAGGAAGGAAAGAGTACAGCAGTGCAATAAAGCTTTGTGTGGCTGAGGAGTGCAAGAGAAAAGCGGGTGGGAGTCAGAGAGCAGACTTAGTGTGAAGGTAGAAAGGATGGCGAGATGGAGTTATTCCAAGGTGGGAGGGAAGGGGAGAGACAAATGAATAGGCAAATTATAACTAATGCAATAATTAGCTGCTACAGCAGTAACTGGATTGTCACCCAAAAAAAAGAGGATGAGGCAGGGAGTTGGTGAGTGAGGGGGTGGTATGATCGGGCTGGCAGAGGAGCAGAGGGGGGCTGAGCCCAGTTGGGGGGCAGAGGCAGCTGGCAGAGAGCAGCAGGAGCAGATGCTGGGGCTGCCGTTCCTATGGCAACATACGAAGTTAATGCAACAAGTGTAGCAAAGTGGCAGCGTTAGCAGGGGACCGCTCAGTTCATTTCCATGTCATGCTCCTCAGGGTGGGAGTGGGGCCATGCGCCATCGCTGGGTATCAAGGCAGCAGGGCTCAGCCCCTGCAGAAACCAGCACAAGTTACTGTCATGTTTTGAGGCCAGGCCCCCTCACTGCTGAGAAATGGATGTCCTGTGCTCTGTTTCCTCAATCCTAGGCATCTCAAAGCCCAGCAGAGCGAGAGCTCCTGAGCGTCTTGCCAGCAGCAGGGTTCGTGCCTGCTACATGAGGGGGCAGCTCTGCGGTGTGTGGGCTCTGGAGGGGGGGATGGAGGAGGGAGGATTCCGCCCCTCCATCTGTCGTGCCCATGCACCACGGGGTGGGGGGCTTAAATACTCCATGCCCTGGCTCACCGTGGCCTGGGCAGCTGGCACATAACCTCCAGGCACCTGCAGTGAGTGGGGCTGTCATAGCACAAGGCCAGTCTGCCTACAGCAGGCAGAAAAAGCACGTATATTTTACAGGCTGGGGCCTTATCATTGTGTTTCTTCACTCATTAATTTTTGGCAGAATTTTCCCTTCCTCTCCAATAGTATCTTCTGTAATTCATTGCTTTGGGTCTGCAGCTACTCTGCAGCATTATGCTCATGTCCTACGCTAAACAGCTGGAGACAGAGCACAAAGACCAATTCTTCTGTTCAAAGAAGTCGCCTCCTAACGCACTGACACTGCCGACAGACAGAACGTCCCTGCAGGGTATCCAGCAAGGATGCTGCTCCGTTTCCCTTTAAGAAGAGACAGCTGGCAGGAGGAGGCTGACCCTGACAGGCTATGCTGTCCGGGCTGCTCCCACCCCCCGGAGCCGCCTGTCTCCCAGGAGATCCACCCGCCCCCCGCAGCAGCGCTCGGGCTTCCCGCGGGATTCCAGCTGCGGTTGGCAGTGCAGCCACGTCCGACAGCAGAGGGAGCTCCGGGGAAGGAAGAGGAGCAGGCGAAGCCCGGCAGGAGCAGCCCCGGGAAGGAGGGAGGCGGGCAGAAGTTGTGCAGAGGTAACTGCGGGCGGCTCTGCTGCGCCAGGTAAGGAGCTTTTAACAGCATAAAGGGATGAGGGGGAACGGGCCCTGCGAGAGGGAGTAGTTGAAAAGCAGCCACCATGGAAACGAAATGCCAGAAAAACTGTAGGTATAAGAAGACAAGAAAAAGAGACACACAAAAGAAGTGTCTGGGTGTTCTTTCTCTTGCAAGATTTAAGACCTAGGCTAACTTCAGGGTATCTGGTGCTAAATAGCTGTAAGGAGGAGGAGGGTATCTTAGTTACTTGGAGTGATTTCAGTGTATTTAAATGCTAAAAAGCTCTGGCTTTTTTTTTTTTCCTTTTTTCTTTACGAGGAGAATGCCCCATGTTGAACACTGCTCTCAAGTCAAATTAATTTCAGAAAGTTTCAACCACATTTTGAGAAACTCTAGTGCCATGAATTCACACCAGCATCAAAGCAAAGCATTGAATGTGCCTTTGTGGCAGTGTAAACGCACCCATTGGAAGTTGATGGCCATTTCTGTCACACGGGGGATGACAGCAATACCAACCAGCCACATCACAGCCCCCATAAAGCCAGAGTGTGGATATGACTCTCTAGCCACAGAATCTGAGCAAGAAAATAAATATTCTGGTCTTCTCATCCCTTGTTCCCCGTGGTCCCGGGTGCAGCACAAGTGTGGTCATGATTCATTATACAGTCTCCGGGCAACCCAGGGGAAAACTGCCTGCTAATTTCAGCTTTTGATGTCAGAACGTATAATTAACCTGACAAAGCAAATGTTATTTTGGGTTAAGGCGGGATCAGACCTTCCTTCTCCCTCTACCTATTTCTAAACGGTGATAAAAAAACCTGAAGCTATTTGAGGCTGGGGGAGGTATATGTTTTGTGGTGGCTATACAGTTTTGGCAGTGTTCTGTAATACATAAAAATATTAGCAGTGCTGTCCCCAGTTAATTTATATTCAAGGTAAACACAGAGAAACACAATGATTGGACATCACAGTAACCTTCTTCCCTGTCACTGCACATGTGTGCAATACTCTTCCCTTGTATGAGTCTTTGGAACAGGAGATGAAGCAGGTTTTAAGTTAGCGTGCTGACTGCCACAGTGGCAGTGGATAAGAATCACAGGAATACTTGGAAACTTTAAGGTATGTAATGTTAGAGTTGATAGTGTGATGCTAGATAGATGGTGGATATTTAATTGTAGAAGCTTGAGTGACTGGAATGCTTTGGTTTAATGTCACTGTATTTGAAAAAGTATTGAGGATTTCAGAGGTGAAGTTATAACATGTTGTTGCTATGTTTTCCCTTGGGTAGAATCTCTAGAATGGAGTGATTGATTTTGTTTGATTTATAATATGTACACATAACTAGCAGAATGTGCTGCAGTTAAAGTGAAAAGATTAATATTGCCATTTCAAGAAAAAACTACTTCTTTTAGTGCTGTGCTGACAAGCTTGGATTCCATAGGCTCCCAGACACAAAAAAGCAGCTCTTTTGCAGTTCTTGAGGTGGGAAAAGAGCTCCAAGTCCCTCTGCTTAAGGAGCTCCATTTTAAAATAAGAGTTCTACACTCTTCTACTACAGAGTGAATGGTGGTTTCTTTGCTCCGTGGCAAACAAGAAGGCAGAGAGAAGATGCAGCGTGTAAGAAATAAATGATAAATTATTCTCTTATCCCTTTTTCTCTGCTGTTTTTGCCTAGTCTTCCTCAACTTTTGGCGTCTTTTTTCTGTGATCTAGCTGGGTGAGTCCTTAATCTTCAAAATCATTTGAACGACTGGAGATCAGTCATTTGCAGGCTCTGAGCATTTTGGTGTATGTTCTTTCCTTTTCCTCCTGCTGCTCGAAAGTCTTTGCCCAGCTGTGCACCTCATTACACCCTTGTGGCTAGGCTATTTTAAGAAAACTTCTTCTAAAGGAGTAACAAAATCAGCAAGCTCTGACTATTGTACCTGTGTGATTGGGAAGTAAAGGTTAAGTGCTAGCACAGGTAGAGCTCAGCACTCTGAATATAACTGGTTTGCCATTTCTTTAAAGACCACCATTGTCCTAGATCCAGGTAGGGCACTTAGGGTTTGTGTCAAGCCATTTGCAC